TCTACCCGGGGTCGACGCCCACTTCCCGCCGAACTCGTGGGACCAAAAATGATCTCAAGTAAAATTTCTTTAAACAACCCTGAGTCTTCGGACTCAGAGTCCCGTACGGGCGGGTGCAGCAACCCGCCCAAGGACTAACCATCTGCTCAGGCAGGTGATTTTTCACAAGAGAGAGAGAGAGAGAGTGAAGAGATAAGGGTGGACGGAAATCAACCGGCGGGTGTTATCTCCCCACCCCCGGGGGTGGGGAGAGAGTGCAGATGGACCTCGGAGGACTAGCCTCCGAGGGGTCATCCCTCGAGGGAAGTCCATCCCCCTCAACGGCTGCTGACGGCAGTAGCCGGGAGTACCGCCCTGACTGCGGGGTTAGTGGTACGGTGAGCCCGTCGGATAGGTGTTTACGGGCGGCCACCCAACACGGGACACCAAAGTCCCTGGGGTCCGGGGTTTCTCCGGTATCAGGGGCCAACAAGCCCGGCCTCCTCTGCTCTAAGAAGGAGCAGAGGGGGTCTGCCCCCAATGAGAACGCGGGGGCACTTGGGGCCAACTCGGGAAGGGAAATGGCGGGAACCAGGAAGAGGGAGGGGATGTCGGAGTGGAGGACCGGTGGTTCGGTCATCCGTTCGAACATGCTCCTCTCTCAAGGGTCGAGAATACAGGTCCGAGGAGCAAGGGGGCGGCGCCGATACAGGAAGCAAAGGCCACCAACGTCAGCGGTGGCGAGAAGAGGAAGGCCGACTCCACCATCGTCGGGACGAAGAGGGCCAGGGTGCCCACCAGCAGCGAATCGTCGGCGGCGGATGCAGCGGAGGTCCCGGTCCTGATCCCGGAAAAGAAAAAGCAGGGAGGCCTGCCACGACCGGGAAGGGAGTGGGCCTAAAGGAGAAGTGGGAAAGGGAGAGATTGGAGAGGAAAGAGGAGCAGAGCAGGAGGTTGGAGGAGGAGGCTTGGGGACTCCTCGACAGGGGGCTCTTCCAAACTTTGAAGGACAAGCGCCCTGCCGAGGAGGTGTTCCGAGACGCTTCCTCCTTGAACCTCCTCAGGGAGGCGAGGTCGCCGGAGCTGGCGGCGGAGGTGGGCCAAGCCCTAGGAGCTATTAAGCTTGTGGCAAGGTGATCGAACACCTTAAAAGGGACGTTCGTGAGCTTGTTGAACATGGCAGTGGCCACCTCTCAAGCGGCTCTGGCGACCTTGATTGCGAGGACGGCGGAGCTGGATGAGAGAGAAGGAGAGGTGCCAGAGGTAAGAAGGGAAACGGAAGAACTCTGTGAGGAGATAAGGGGGCTGAGGGTGGAGAACAAGAGGCTCCAGGAGGAGCTCCAGGCCAATAAGGCCTTGGTTGTTCCCACCCCGGCCCCCCTCTTCCTGCCTCCCAGGAAGAAGAGGACTTATGCTGAGGTGACCAGCGGAGCGTCCACCTCGACGGAGGAGGAGACGAAGTCGGAGAAAAGGAGAGAGAAAAGGAGGAGTAGGAGAAGGGGGGTGAGAGATCACGCCTCCTTTTCTTCCTCCAGGGTAAGGGAAGTAGAGAGAGAGGGGGTACCCCCGGAGGTCGGTATTCCGGTATTGGACGACAGATTTCCGGAGGAGGCTCACCCTCCCATAGAGAAGCCGGATTTCGGAGAGGTGCAGAGGGCCCTGGACGCCTCTATAGCAGCCACGGCTCGTGCATCTGGTGGCGAGGAGGAGCAAGGTCTGATTCGCCAGATGGCTCACCTCATCGCCAGATGGGACGAGATCCGGGCTGCCCGAGAGGCGGGGACCTTTGCACCGACTTGAACCGGAAAGGGAAGGGAGGGGGGGTGGAATGTTCCAGGAAGGAGATTCAGTCCCAGGCTCCGTGCACACCGACGGGTCCCAGAAGGAAGGAAGGGGAAGGAATGAAGGTGAGAGCCAAGGAAGGGAGGAAGAGGAGAAAGGCCAGGGCGAAGCTCCGAAAGAAGATGGAGCGGGAGCAAGCCCAGAGAGGAAGGACAGCGGGCATCCCAGCCAAGGATCTCGTGGGGCTGGGATCATTACCGGCTGCATTGGAGTGGGTGCTTGGGACCAAAGAGAAGAAGCAGGAGACTTGGTCCCAAGTGGTAGGAAGAAAGGAGAGGAGGAGGGGAAAGGAGGAGGAGAAGAAGACTCCTGCTCCTCCCCCCTCAAATCAGGTAGGGATAAAGAGGGTAGTGAAGGGGGCGAGGCCGGGTAAGCCGAAGCCGCTAAGAACAGCGGCCGTCACCATTACATGCTCCCCGGATAGGTACCGGGAGTTTATGGCTGAGGCGAGGCGCCGGATCAAGCCAGCTGACCTTGGAATAAATGGTTCCTTAAAGGTCAGCCAGGCCCTGAATGGGGCCATGTTGATTAAAGTGCCTGGCCTCAGCCAAGCGGGGGCAGCCGTCGACCGGCTTGCGGACGCGCTCCGCAAGCTGGCGGCTGAAAAAGGCCCCGGTTTTCGCGTCCAGAGGTCGGTAAAGGTCGCCGCGTTGCTACTTTCCGGCCTGGACGCGACGACCGGGGCCGACGAGATGGCGGTCGCTGTGGCCCTCGCCGGGGGGTGCTCACCGGAGGAGGTATCCTTCGGTGAGGTGGTCGCCTCCCGGTAGGGGACGGGGTCGGTAGTGGTGCGGTGTCCGCTGGCGGCAGCTGCGAAAGTTGCCGCTGCAGAACGGGTCCAGATTGGTTGGACTCGTGCTGGGGTGACGGCGCTGCCCGCTCGCGCAAAGTTATGTTTCCGGTGCTTGGAGCCGGGACATGTGCGCGAGCGGTGTGCCAGCGCCGTCGACCGCAGCGGATTATGTTACCGCTGCGGTAACCCCGGCCACCGCGCCAAAGAATGCCAAGGGGCAGCTCGCTGCCCGGTCTGCACCGAAGCGGGCAGACCCTCGGATCATGAGATCGGAGGGCCTGCCTGCAAGCCCCCTTCTGGAAAAAGAAGGGTGGCAAGATGAGGAAGGACAAGCATGGGGAGGTGGAGAAGAAACTCCCAATCGCGGTCGGGGGGACCAAGGAGGGGGAGGCTCGAACCCCTTCCCGAGGACCCTGAGGATCGGACCCTATTGAAGAAGGAGGTGAGTCCAGCCCCCTCCACAATGAGGGAACAGGAGGAACACCGGGAGGGGAACCAGGACGAGGAGGACTCCTCTCTTACGTCGTGGGGACTTCGACCCGGGAGGACATCAACTCCGGTCCCAATGGAAGCAGAGGCCGCGCCTCTTTCACAGAGGAAGAGGCGAGTAACGGAGAGGAAGGAAGAGAAGACGGACAGGACCAGCGGATCGTCGGAAGAAGATACAACGGTCAAGTTGAGGAGGGTGCAGTCCTCGGACTCTCCCCCAACCACCCTAGGAAAAGGGGAGCCAGTGGGCGTGCCACCCCTGTCTCCCCTGGTAGTTGTTGACAATTTCCCCTCGTACCCCCGAGAGGAGGAAGTTGTCCAGGTAGGGACTCCCTGTAGGCAATCGTTCTCGGCGGAGGTACCTGAGGATGTAGCCACCAAGGTCGAAGTCCCCTCTGGGGAGACTGAGGTGGCGTTGCCGCCAGAGGTCTCCCAAGAGGGGGCGAATGTAGTCAGCCCGGAGAAGGCGTGAAAGGCCTAGCCTTCACGCTACTCCGGATGCTACAGGTTAACCTCGGCCGCGGCGCCCAGGGCCATGATCTGTGAGTTCACAGAATCCAGGAACTGGGCGCCGGGCTGGGGGTGGCCACCAAGCCGCATTGGGTGCCGGTCAACAGTGATCGCTGGTTCGGCAGCCTGGACGGCTCGGTGGTCATGGTGGCTGACCCTGGGATCGGGGCATCGTGGCGTCGGCGTGCGACGCCGCGATGCTCCGATCCCATCCCCGTTGGCGCCGGGCCGCGTACTGGTGGTCGGAGGACATCGCGAGACTTCGCGAGGCCTCCGGCCGTGCCAGGCGGGCGTACGTCCGGGCCCGGCGACGGGGATGTCACGAGGGCAAAGGAGGACTACCTCGCGGCGAGAGTGGTCCTCCGGAAGGCCACCAAGGAAGCCAAGCGAGTAGCCTGGGAGCAACTGGTGGGCTCCCTGGATGAGGATCCGTGGGGGCGCCCTTACAAGAGGACGATGGGGAAGGTTCGTCCATGGGCGCCCCCGCCGACGGAGACTATGGACTCCCAGGCCCTTGATGGGCTCCTGGACGCCCTCTTTCCGAGGGCGGAAAGGGGCCCTCCCACGATCCCTTCCCCTGAACTGGGAGAGGGAGAGTGAGAAGAGGGCCTGGAGGTCACTCCAGAGGAGCTCACCAGGGCCAGGGAAAAGCTCGGTGGCAAGGGGAAAGCCCCTGGCCCCGATGCGATTCCGGGCCGCGTCTGGGCTCTCGCTTTGGCCGAAGGAAATTTGTCCACGGCCATGCGCAGGGTCATGACCGGGTACCTCAGGGAGGGGGTATTTCCCCAGAGTGGAGGAGGGCCAAATTGGTCCTCCTCCCTAAAGAGGGCAAAATACCCGGGAGTGCGTCGGCCTACAGGCCGATATGCCTGCTGGACGAGGCGGGCAAGATGCTTGAGTGCATCATTGCCGACCGCCTCGTCCAACACCTCGTCCTCGGAGGGGCCGAACCTCCACGATCACCAATATGGGTTCAGGCCCGGACGGTCCACGCTGGATGCCATCCAGTGGGTCCGAGACCTGACCCGGGTGGTCGTGGAGAGGAGGGGCGGGGTATTGCTGGCGGTGTTGTTAGACATAACAAACGCCTTCAACACCCTGCCCTGGCCGGAGATTGGACGGGCCCTCGTACATCACGGGGTGCTCGTATATCTCCGGCGGATCCTGTCGGCCTACTTCGGGGGCAGGGACCTCGCCTTCACTAAAGAGGGCGGAGTCCAGGGCTGGCGCACGATGGAGCGCGGTATCCCGCAGGAGTCGGTACTCGGCCCCCTGCTATGGGACATCGCGTTTGACCGGGTGCTTCGCACTCCACTCCCTGACAGCTGCCACGTCGTCTGCTACGCAGACGACACATTAGTGGTGGCCGAAGGGGAGAACTGGGGGGATGCCCGCCTCCGAGCGGAGGCGGCAGTGGTTATCGGTGGTGGGTATCATCGGAGACCTGGGTCTCAAGGTGGCGCCCCTCAAGACTGAAACCGTGTACTTTCACGACGGCAGTCGGGGGGCGCCGCCGGAGACCCGGGTCCTGGTCGATGGCGTCCACGTCCGCGTTGGGCCGACGATCAAGTATCTTGGCCTGACGCTGGACAGCCGATGGGGATTTGGGCCTTATTTCAGGCAACTGGCCCCCAGGGTGCGCAAAGCGGGGACGGCAGTTGCCAGCCTGCTGCGCGCCCAAGGGGGCCCAGGATGGCAGGCTCGCCACCTGTACGTCGGTGCGGTTCTCTCGATCGCCCTGTACGGGGCGCCTATATGGGCGCCCCAGTTGCAGGTCAGCGCGGCGGCCAAGCGTCTGCTACGGCAGGCACTAAGGCCGCTGCTGATCAGGGCGATCCGGGAGTTCCGCACCGTGTTGTACATGGCGACGACCACCCTGGCCGGTTCCCCGCCCGTGGAGCTCCTAGCCGAGGAGCGGTATATCCTCTACTGGAAGGTAAAGGAGCTCCACGAGGCGGGAGAGTTGACGGCCAGGGGCCTGAAGGCCCTGAAGACCCAGGCCAGAGCCTGGAGAGGTGGGAAGGCGTATTAGCCGATCCCCGAGGGTCCGGGCTCGCAACGGCCGAGGCTGTCCGCCCCTGCCTGGCCGAAGTGTCAGGCAGGCGGGGACGTAGAATGTCCTTCCATCTGGTGCAGATACTGACGGGGCATGGTTGCTTCGGGAGGTATCTGCACCGGATAAGGAAGGAGCCCACCGCTCGGTGCCACCACTGTCCAGAGCCTATGGATACGGCGCGGCATACCCTGGCCGCTTGCACGACATGGGACGAGCAGCGCCGTGTCCTGGCCGGGGTGGTGGATTGCCGAGAGGGGGAGCTCTCGCTCCCGCACCTAGTCCGGGCTATGTGCGGGAGCGAGGAACCGCCTGGGAGGCGGCTCCTTCAGCAAAAACGTGATGTCCCTGAAGGAGGCTGCCGAGTGGAAGCGTCGACCCGGGGTACGTCGTCACAGAAGACGACAGGGCCGGCGCTCCCCGGGGGGGAGGGGATCCATAGCGGGCCCGAGGTGGCATCGGCCGAGGAGATGCCGCTGACCTATACGGGTCGGCGCCTCCCTCGGTCGCCTCGGGCTCGACTCCGTCAGTCGGGGGGGAGTGATGGGTCGGGCCCCAGGTGGATCACCCAGTTGGGGCTGGGCCCACCTCCCCGATTCTCCCCTCTCCCTGGGATTTACAGGGAGAGAGGGGATAAGGGGGGTGGATGTCCCCTTCTTCCTAGGCGACACCAGAAGGCCAACCGGCGGGGCAACCCGCCGGGGACCGCGCCCTCCCACTAATTCCCTGAAAGGGGAAGGGGGTGCGGTACACGGGGCGAGGGGCTCTTAGTTTAGAGCCCTGGGGCCAGGGTGTTGGAGAGGGAATGCGGGAGCAGTTCCCCTGACTCCTCTCACAACGGTCCGACAGGTAGACATCCCGCAGCGGTTTTAGTTGGTAGGAGTCCGACATAACCTCCCCCCAAGGGGTAGGGGTATCCATGATAGATTTCCCCTGCGTGAACAAAAAATAACAAAAAAAGAAAAAAAGAACTCAAACTACGTACAGGAAATAAGAAACACTCGAATAAAGCTGAATTGTGGCAAGATTTGTAAACTCAATAGCAAAATTTACCTTATGACCACATTTATAATTTAATAGCATCAATGCCTCGCCGTTGTGCTGCAATGATTGCTTCTAAAAGCATGGCAACAAAGTATTAAATTTAAAAAAACGTTAACAACATTTTCTGTTATAATTTTTCAATAATATATTTTTCTTATGCATAAGAACACTTTTTGGCGCAATAATTTTGCACTGTTTGTAACAAGACATTGTATAAAAATAAAGTATTTAGAATTATTAAGAGTTTGTAAAGTTTATATAATTGTAGGACAAATAAATACATTTTGTTTATATATATGTGTAAAGTTTTTAGCGCTCACTATGAAATGAATATACAGGATGTCCCATTTTAAGTGTCCACTCCAAATATCTCTCTTACTTTTGATTTTAGAGAAAAATGGTTCAGACACGTTTTATATGGTTTCGAGGGGGCCATAAGATGGTACCATTGATTTGACCTCCAAGAGTCATTTGAAGGTCACGTGAAGATTACCTCAATTTTTTTAAATAGCACTCCCTATTTTTTATTATATATTCTTGAGCTTTCCAAAACACTATAATCAAATGTCTTTTGGTGAAGCACTTTTCGAGTTATAATACTCCAAAAATTTACAAAATTTACAAATTTACAAAATTTTGATAAAAATACAAAATATTTCGTAAAACATTCACTTTCGAATAGTCTTATCTTACATGATCCAACCAGTCAAGGCAAGATCCGAGCATGATCCAACCAGTCAAGGCAAAATCCGAGCATGATCCAGCCAGTCAAGACAAGATCCGAGCATGACCCAGCCAGACAAGGCAAGATCCGAGCATGATCCAGCCAGTCAAGGCAAGATCCGAGCATGATCCAGCCAGTCAAGGCAAGATCCGAGCATGATCCAGCCAGTCAAGGCAAGATCCTAGCATGATCCAACCAGTCAAGGCAAGATCCGCGCATGATCCAACCAGTCCAGGCAAGATCTTCTTTTGTGTACAATTACTTAAAGTGTTCAAAAACTTGGCCATTTACTTGTATGCATAGCTCTAGTGTATGGTAAAAGTCGTCCCTAACTTTTTCAAGAACACCTACATTAATATTTCTGCAAGCCTGTCTGATCCGGTTTTTCATATGTTCAACGGTTGTAGGCTTTTGCGAATAAACTATATCTCTAATGTAGCCCCAGAAATAAAAATCTAGGGATGTCAAGTCGGGTGATCTTGGAGGCCATTCTTGAACTCGGCTGCCTATACCAATCCACATATTCGGGAATCTATTATTTAAATATTGTGTAACAGCTCGAGATCTATGAGCCGGTACTCCATCTTGTTGGAACCACATTCGTCTGAGTAAATCATTGTCGATAGGTCTCAAGAAGTTGGGCAGGTCATGTTGAAGAAATCTTAAATAGATTGCCGCATTGAGATTTTCTTCAAAAAAATATGGACCAACAATAACATCTCCCAGGATGCCTGTCCAAACGTTAATGGACCACTGCCGTTGGAACTCTTGACTTCTCTGCCAATGTGGATTAGCATCTGAATAATAATGGCAGTTATATCTATTAACGCCTCCTCTATTACAAAACGTGGCTTCATCAGGAAAAAGCGTATCAGCAATGAACCGGGGATTTTGTTGGATTTGATCTCGAGCCCAGTTACAAAAACGTACACGACGTTGATAGTCCCTCTCTTTCAATTGCTGAGTTAGATGAATATGATATGGGTGAAACTTGTTGAGCTTGAGTACACGATTGGCTGTTGATTTAGATATACCGTATTGCCTCTCAATTTGTCTCGTAGAGATTTGAAGATTCTAAGCAACGGCACCTATAACAGTCAATGATGTGACTTCATCAGGGCCCAATTTTCGCCAGTGTCTTCTAAGAAAACCCTGTTCAGCTCTGTCGCAGTCTTTTTATTATTTTCCTATCAGGATGGCGTCTGTCTGGAAATCTTTCAGCATAAAGCCTTTCTGCTGCCGAGTAATTATTCCTGGCCTCACCCAAAATGCGAATCATGTTCACAATTTCATTTGGTGGATAAGCAGCCATAATTATATTAGAAAAAAAGCGCCAAAAAACCAAAAATTCCTGTCTTATAGAAAAAGTCAACGGATAATAAGATGCGTCTATCTGAGACTTCGCCAAAATACCGACAGTTGCCAAAGTAAGTAATTTGAAATAAGCCTCTTGATATTTGTTTTATTAAAAGAATTGACAATTGCACTTTTACAATTGTTACAGTTCATTGATTATCAGGCAATACAGGATCTCGTCTTGACTGGCTGGATCATGCTCGGATCTTGCCTTGACTGGTTGGATCATGCTCAGATTTTGCCTTGACTGGTTGGATCATGTAAGATAAGACTATCAGAAAGTGAATGTTTTACGAAATATTTTGTATTTTTATCAAAATTTTGTAAATATGGAGCTTTATAACTCGAAAAGTACTTCACCAAAAAACAATTGTTTATAGTGTTTTGGTTTATAGCTCTCGAGGTTAGCTACAAGAATATGTAATAAAAAATAGCGGGTGCCGTCTAAAAAATTTAAGGTAACCTTCACGTGACCTTCAAATGACTCTTAGAGGTCAAATCAATGGTACCATCTTATGGCCTCCTCGAAACCATACGAAACGTGTCTGAACCATTTTTCTCTAAAATCAAAAATAAGAGAGATTTTTGGGGTGGACACTTAAAATGCGACACCTTGTATACAGGGTGTTTGAAAGCTTATCATGCAGACGAAAGTTGGAAATAGATTAGGTGTAGCCGAGAAGAAAAGTCATGTACCATAATGTCAAATTGGCAATAGTTTCCGAGTTATTAATTAAAACATGTGAGCCAACGAGCGCGTAAAGAGCGGAGGGCGGCCGCAGTAAGCACGTAGACATTTGGTACAGGCGGAGTCAGTGAGTGAGAGTATGCGAGCGCGCGCGGCGAGGGGCAACGTAAGCGATAAGAGGCGAGCGCGCGCGACGAGGAGCGAGCGAGCGCAAGCGACAAGGGGTGAGCGAGCGCGACGAGGAGCGAGCGAGCGAGCGAGCTTTTTCTTTATAGCTTTTCCCTTATAGCTCGCTCGCTCCTCGTCGTTCGCGCACGTTCGCTCTTCGTCGCACTCGCTCGCCTCTTGTCGCTTACGCTCGCTCGCTCCTCGTCGTTCGCGCTCGCTCGCTCCTCGTCGCACGCGCTCGCCTCTTGTCGTTTATGCTGCCCCTCGCCGCACGCGCTCGCCAACTCTCACTCGCTGACTCCGCCTGTATCAAATGGCTACGCGCTTACCCTCCGCGGTCGCCCTCCGCTCTCTACGCGTTCGTTGGCTCACATGTTTTAATTAATAACTCGGAAACTATTGCCAATTTGACATTATGGTACATGACTTTTCTTCTCGGCTACACTCAATCTATCTCCAACTTTCGTCTGCATGATAAGCTTTCAAGCACCCTGTATATACAATATACAGGGTGTCCCATTTAACCTGACAAATCGTAATATCTGGAAAACTACATGTCGGATAAAAAAAAGTGGGTAATGAAATTTGTTCATCTCGAAGGGGGACATCCAATGATATCAAACTCGATCTCCCACCTCACTCCCGTGGGGTGGAGGTGGGGGCAACTTTGAAATCTTAAATGGGAACCCTCATTTTTTATTGCAGATTCGGATTCTACGCCACAAAATACGCAAGTTTCGTTCGAAACTTCTTTTTTTATTCGTGATAGATGGCGCTGTAATCACAAAAAATTAGATTTTCTGCAATTCTCCAGAAATGATCATTGGATTGAAAAATAAAAAAATACCTGTTCAATATTTTTAAAAATATTTTTAAATAACATAATAACAGTTATTCCCCCCATCCCCTCGGGATAAGGTGGGTGGTAACGTTCAAATTTCAAATGAGAACCCACACTTTTCATTGCAGAATTAGATTTTACGTGAAGTTTTTATGGAA